GAAATTTACCAGCGGTCAAGCACCCACATCATCGCGGTAATGAAAAGAATCGCTCCCCGGCAGTTCCTTGTATTTCCGTTACGTAACCGGTCGATGTAACAGACGTAGAATACGTATACAGCGCTAATTATCTTTTTAAGAGGCCGGAGTCGAGCTGGTAAACAAACGGGGGATCGAGATGCGCCGAAGGAGGAATATCGATCAGCTGTAAAAAAAAAAGGAGAAGAAGTAACGTCACCGGGGAAAACCCGGGAGATGTGCTCGAACGCGAACAGATTCGCGAGATAACGATTCGCTGAAAACACCGCCCGCGCAGCTATGAAATTTCCCGCGCGCGAAAAATACATAGGTATATACATTTTCGCGTGCTCTCCGCGACTGGTTTGCCCGCTTACATAATCGCGTCGCTCGACACTCTGTATCTCATCGTTTTTAACTATTATGCAACGGCCGACTGATACTGCACACGGCATAATTTCTCACTTACATATTCCGCGACGTCGGCCGAACGCGGATCGGAATTGGACGATTTGACGCGCCGATCTCGCGCTGCTACGGGCTTACGATATTACGGGATATCCCAGAACGAGCGGACGGACGATAATTCCTTAATAACAAACCGGGGAGCTCAGCTTCCCTAAATTACGAAACAATTTCTCGGAAGTACGGATTATTATTCTACCCGAGTTCTGCGAACGTCGTTCGTGCAACGAGGCTCTGTGCAGCCGAATCTTCCTTAGAACTTACTCGAAATCAATTCAATTAGCGAGAACGGAAAGACACGTGACATTGTGACCGAAATTAACAATGCATTGTTAATTTTGTTAATTTTTTAAGAGAAAATTCTCCCCCGGTGTGTTAAGTAATCTTTTTAAAACACAATCTTTTGACAAACCCATGGATCTTTGTTCTAGATTAAAACCAAAAAACTCCCATACAATTGTTCAAAATACTACGATTGCATAACTTTCAGGGTAAATTTCAACGAAAGTCCATGGATTTGTTCTAGAGTAAAACTAAAGTGTTTAAAATCCATGGATCCATGGATCTGAAATTTATCGGCATTTTGAACAATTGTACGAGAGTTTTTTGAAATTTTACCATACATTCTACTAGTAAAATGTGTACTAAGTAAGGCTATTTCATTCTTAAAAAAGGAAGAAATAAAATTAATCTCATTGCGAGTTTGAAATAAAAAGTAAACACAATTAAGTAGCATATTAAAACTACGATAAAATATGATATCAGGAAATAAAGTTCCCTAAATGTACAGTGAGAGGCAACGCGTTAACCCTTTCTCGGCCGAATTATTTTTGTCTCCATTTTTTTACCACACTTTTCCAGTAATAAGATCATTGAGTCTTTTTAATGTAAGTGGAACTCGCGTGTCCCAGTGATCACGAAGGGTCAAGACCACGGGCTCGATCATGAATCCTTTTCTCTAGCGTGACCTCGTGAAAAGTGTAAAACATCTCACTGATAAATATTAAACTCGCCAATAAAATAACATCAAGAGTTATTTGACGCCAGTACATGACTGCACTGATAAAAAAATATCTTAATCCAAAAAAATATTACTTTGTTCAAGAAAATTATTCGTTAGGTGGCTCCTAACAGCTTATTGACTTGAATTAAAAAAATAATAAACAAATTAAAACATGCATTTGTTTAATTCAAGTATTTATTAAATATCAAACAGTAGATAATTTTAAATATAAAAGATTTTACTTCAATTCTATCAAATGTTTACTAAGATAATAAGCTTTACAGCGAAGAAAATTGGATTTCTTATTTGACAAAACCAATGATTTCATTTAATAAATCGTATTCTCTATCTCATGAAACTTTTAGTTGAATGTAGAAAATGTAATGATTTAAATTGATCTATTTAATAGTCAACGGTTAAGTATCGTCTAATTGATCTATTTAAAAGTACTAATGATGACATCTTCGTGTTTATTTTTCGACTAGAACTGCGCCCCGATACGGAGGGGGTTTTTTTATGCTTCGGGGAAAGAGCCGGGTAATGCGGTGCCGGGTTAACCCGCTATCTACTGTTTGATATTTAATAAACACTTAAATTAAAGAAATGCATGTTTCAATTTGTTTATTATTTTTTAAATCTGAGTTAATAAGCCTGTTGCGATAAATATTACCGCATGCCTCAGTGGTCGAATTGGTGGGACGCCCGCCTAGAGAGAAGGGAAGTCCAGGTTCAAACCCTGAGGTAATACTTTTCGCAATAAATTTTTCCCGCGTTAAAGGCACGTTGTCCGGTTATGGTCGATCGGAAGCTTAATTATTGCTCGTCAATGGAACGTTCTCACTTTTCGCGAGTTGACGCTAGAGAAAAAGATCCATGATCGAGCCGCTGAAGCCACGAGGGACGGGAAGTCGCGTCTGTTTGGGGAAGCCTCGGGTCGGCGCGGATCCGGGGCGCGTGCACGCGCAGGCACGCGCTCGTCGGCGCGCGCGCGTGCGGACCTATTACGAGCGTTACAACGAACCCGGGTGCACGCGTCGCGCGCGCAGTGGCGATAAGCGGCGCGTCGCGACGCGGCGCGTTATGTCACCGTCTGCTGTGTGCGGCGTGATATTGTGATACGTCGCCTCCGGTTCCTTCAGCCATTGAACCGCTCGCGATCGCCCGCTCGGCTCGCCTCAATTGCCAACAGGCGGACTGCCAACAAATTGGAGCGGGCGGACGGGCCGGAGGGACCCGTGCTCGAGTTCGCGGGAGAGCTCGCGCCGCGTCCTCGCGCGCTTTCTCACCCGAGCGACACGCTCGAACGAGACGTGTTCCCCGCCCGGGATCGATCGCCGGCTCTCCCGCGGAGACTCGCCGAAGATCGGAGAACGAGAGCGCGCGCGAACGCGCGCTTCCAAGGATCGGGAACGTTCCCCCTCGCAGAGACGCCCATTGTCCGCGCGCGTAAGGGCCCCGCGGTGCGGTACGCAAACGGTTAAATTGGAGCTAAACGCGGCGGGCCGCTCGCGGGATGCCTCCCGGCTGTCTCGCACGCGACAGGCCTACAATCGACGCATTTACATGTCCTACTTACTGTTATTTATCGTCGGCCGCGCGGCTGTTGCGATCGCACCGGACCGCACGTTTTCGAGCCGCGTCCGCGCTGTCGCGGATTCTTCAAAAGTCGACCGAGTCGCGTTCGCCGCGCGTGACGCCTCGGCTCGCGAACGAGTGGGGAAAAAGTGAACCAAAAGAAAAAGAAAAAAATGCGATGCGAATGCAGAGGTATTTTGAGACGCGGTGACTCGCGGCGCGGATTTCTCGCCGTCCCGCGCGGAATCGCTCAAGTTTCGGCGCACTCACCTCTCTCCGTCGCCGCTCCGTCGTCGATGGACGCGCGATTCTCCCGCGCGCCGCGTGAATCCGCGTGACGCCCGCGGTCTCTCTCCCGCGCGTCGCGGGACGAGAGGAATCGTAAACACGCACCGCACGCACGTCGGGCACAGGCAGCCCGCGCGGAACCCGACAACACGTTTGTCTTTCGAACGCGCGCGCGGACTCCGACAAGCGCGACAGCGAATCGCCGGAACGCCGTCCCGCAGATTGCCGCTTACCCGGCGGAGCGCGCGTTCTCTGCGAACTCCCCTCGAGGCGCCGCATCGCTCGAGATGGCGCCAGCGTCCCCGCCCGCGTCGGAAAATGCCGCGCGCGGGACAACCGAGCCGATTCAAAGTCAATGGTCGGTATTCATAGTCGATTCTTATTTCAAAATCATCTTGAGTATTGTCTTAAGACGCTAATACAGCTCTGTGATTGAAAACACATTAAGAGTATACTTAAGATGGTCTTAAGTATAAGAACGGACTACGAATACCGGCCAATGTTGTATCTTACAATATATTATAGTAAAAATGCTAAAAGTGAGCGGCCTTGTCTCTTGTCTAAGCAGAATAGCTAAAAAAAAATAAGCGAAAGCTAAAGCTCATCTCTATCCTCTAACCTAAAAAAATGAATACGCCCCTTTTTTGTAAAGTGCTCCGTTATTTCTTAAACTACTTTTCTTTTTATTCTTAAATTCCTATTGCTTTCTTTAAAAAAAAAATTTTTCTCCTTAAATTCTTCATCTACGCACTAAACTAGAAACTTCATTCGGAATCTTCCTTGTCCCTGAATATACTTTATTCTATTCTATAAGATCCTGAATTTTGATGTTTTTTTTACAGAGGGTTACTGATAAATTAAATTATTCTTTAATGCATCGAGTAAAATCGCACGCACATAAATGGTTTTGGTTTCGCCATGGAAACGACAAGGATAGGATCAGGGGCTCGATTCTTGAATTTATTTGAAGGAGAAACGTATGCGAAAATTCTGCTCTTACAGAAAAGTTGCAAGTTGATTGGCTATTCGCATGGCTTTAACCAATCGACTTGCAACTTTTCTGTCAGAGCAGAATGTTCGTATACGTTTCTTCTTCGAATGATTTCGAGAATCGGGCCCCAGGTCTCTTTTTACATTCGCATATACACACATACAGGGTTGGGAAGTAACTAACTTAACTTCGTTACTTTCTCTCCATCTGTAACTGTAACTTAACTCAGTTACATATTTTCGATAACTAGTAACTAATTTAACATACATTTAGATTACATGAAGAGCTACTTTATGTGTATCTTAAACATCCACAGATTGCATTAGGCTTTGCATTTACGCATAAACGCCTTTATCGACACTTTACAATTCAAATGCGAATTTGATATTTTTATTTTCGTTGCAAGAAAGTAACTGCAAACAACAATTCGTTATTTTTTTTTTAGTAACTGTAACTGTAACGCGTTACTTTTCAGAATTGGTAACTTGTAAATGTAATTAGATACTTTTATAAAGTAACTTTCCCCAACTGTTTTTTTCTTTTTCTCCGAGAGTAGGGAAAACGCTTTATGCGTACCATCAGGCCGTCCTGGACGGTTACGCCTAAGACTCCCGTGAAGCGGGAGTACTGGCTAAAAACCCCTCCCAACGAAATGATTATGATGCTAACGACGGTGTAAAAACGCCCGTTTAAATTTATTACATAAAAATTTATACATTAAACAAAGTATGTAAACGCTAGTCAATACTTAATTATATTTACACTAAAATTTTACCTTTTCAGAGAAAAAAACAACTATATACAGCAAAACAAAGCGACGAGAAGTATCCTTCACGCCTGCAACACCGGCCTTTCGTGCTTGCCCTCCAACGAGTCGTTAACAGACGCATAACCAGTGCCACCCTATAAAATACACATAGATATTGTTATCTGTGCCAATTATTCGTACCGTCTTAACTGTATCTACACTACTTTTTAGTATAACTTACCCTTTGTAGAGGAACGATATCGGACGGTGTTAACTTGGAATTATCCAGCGGGTTGATCCAATCCTTTTTTATCAACTTTTCCACACACTCCATCGTGACCACGTCGCCGCTATAGGTACAAGACAGTTTAAACAGTTAAGCGACACGATCAAATCGGCACTCGCCGTTAAAGCGAGGCGGGACATCATTCGTTGCATATTTACGTTGTTCTTATCACGGCACATGGAACGTTGTTGCCCAAGACGTCGTGCGTAATGGGACACATGTATCGCGCCTGCTTGACGATGAGCGATCTCTTGTCGTCCGGGTCGTGAACCACCGTGAACTTGATCGGAATCAGATCCTTCACCTTCAACGGCATCCCACTGACGGGACAATAAATGGTCTTGCCGGGCTTCTGCGGCGCTACCTCTTTCACTCCCGGCGTCTTGGAGGGTATCCAGAAGCTCGGCAGCACCTTGTCCTTGCCGTTCTTCATGTTGGAGACCGAGTCTCCGTCCGACGTGCTAGGGCCGCTCGACACGATGGTCTTTTCACCCTTCAGGAAGTCTTGCAGTTTCTTCAGCTCGTCGCTGGCCGTCTGTTCCTGCGACTGTTCCTACGACAAACATAGCAACGTTAATATATTGACTATACAAGTCCGTCGATAATCTTAAAGCACATTTGTATAACAGACTTCTATACCTAGTGAACAAGGACAACGGCCAATAACAACACGAGCAATAGAAGATGAAAGTCAAGACTAATTCAATTATTAAGATTAAATTTTTGGCGAACGTTTCGGCATCACAGTGCCTTCATCAGTGCCTGGTTTGAGTTACATCAATAAATTAATAGTTACATTAATAGTTACATCAATAAATTAATTCATCCTTTGACCATGGCTATTTATTGTAATTATATTATACATTTTTACTATTAATTGTTGTTCATTTGCTTTTACAAGAAAACGAGCTGATTTTACTAATTTAATTCTATACCTAGACTGCTAACTTTCTAGGCCCGGTTTTTTTTCTGTTAACCAGAAATTAGTCGACTCTTCATCGTTTTCTGTGGTATTGTCTAAAAGACTGAGAATGGACTAACCTGGTTAACAATTAACCGTACTGGGGCACGTGTATGTGCACGCGTGCGTGTGCATTTATCGGGATCTTTCGTGATGCACGCGCTACATTTGTAAGTTAGAATTGGAATCTCTTGAACTTGCAGTTAGCAGTCTAGGAGTGCGTTCCGTTTCGCGCGCACAATGCATCGTTTATCCTTGTTATTTATCCGATGGTAAATAAAGAGAAATGATGCATTATATGCGCATCACGCGCGAAACGGGACGCACCTTATGTAATAAGGTGTAAAGCCTCGTCTACACGACAAGGCGTAAGGCACGGCGCAAGAGCTCAGGCGCAGGCGTTGGATATAAAATTAGTTTATTTCGCTTGCGCCGCTACGCCACGACCCTACGATCGGGAAAAATCCTCTTGCGCCTGTGCCCGCGCTCTTGCGCCGCGCTTTACGCCTTGTCGTGTAGACGAGCCTTTAAACCGAACTCTGAAAACTTACCTCCTCTTTTTGCTTTTGCCTCTCGTATTCCTTCAATTTCCTCGCGTATTCTCTCTTTTTCGTCAGGATGTACTCCAATATCGCTTCTTTGTCAAACAGATAACCGTCACGCCTGCAACAAAGTGGAAGGTAAAGCCAAGTTTGTACGTTAAATAACCTAACCTAACGGTTGATGGCGTCCCCGTACAGGGAAACCCTCCTCCCCAAGAAAAAGCAGAGTTTGCGGCGAAACGAGAATGAAAAGACGCTTCGCGACGGCCGAGATACGTACGTTATCACCGGATTCCTGCAGGGTTGGAGAGTCAGGCAGCAGCAATCGAAATCCTTGACGGAGTCCTTGCCCACCCGTTGAGTGTTGGTACCGTAGCCCGACGCCGCGGCGTCCTTCTTCTTCTCGTGATAAGTGTACACCGCACCCGCGGTGCAATTCCTCGCGTGCCGTGTCATTCCGATCACAAATTCGCTAGGCGAGCCCTCGTCCGAAAGAAAAAAAAACGCGCTTTCTTAACCCTCGCCTCCGAGAATGAACGACCACCAAACGACGAGCGTGGCCGCGTCTTCTTCTTCTCTTGCAATGGCGACGAGCGACGCTGCAGACGCTGCAGTTTCTAATAATGGGAGAGTGCGAGATTTGCGCACGCGCATTGAGCAAACTTTTGCGCAGCCTCAATAGCTGCGTTCGGCATTGCAAATCCGAGGCGTCGGAGTGCTCTTTCGCATTCGAGTGAGCGAGAGGGGAGAATGAGATAGACAGGGAGGAAGAGCACTCCGACGCCTCGCGTTTGCAATGCCGAACGCAGCTACTGACGTATGGTACATGTTGAATTTTCCCTCGTTTGGACACTGTCGTTTTTTTTTTAATAAGGCCCTGAGCAAAATGGCTGTCTTGTATTAAGTCACAAGACAGTTAAGTCAACGGCACACGATACTATTTTTCCTACTGGATTACTTACGAGAGCCAATCAGGATTCAGTTTTGAGTCACTTGATCGAAAATTCTGCATTCTGATTGGCTCTCGTAAGCAAAAATTGTTTTAAGTAAAGGCTGATCTACAACGTGTCCTTTGCGTCTAGAAACATTCTATTTCCTAGCCAATAAATACGTTTGCAAAATTTGGGCTAGTTTACAAATTGTGCATTATACATTGTACAATCGCAAATTGTCGACAAGTTTAAGCGTTTCGATTTGTTTACATAAAATAGAATGTTTCTAGATGCAGAAAGCACATTGTAGATTAGGCTTAAGGTCTGAGCAGAATGGCTGTCTTACACTCTTGAGACAGCCTTAAGACAATGTTTTGTTTTAAGCCTTTGTCTTGAGGTAACTTGTATTCTGCTCAGGCCCTTATTTTAAAGGCTGGTTTATACAAGGCCGTACAGTTAACTTATGCCGGAATCTGTAAAAATTGGCCAATCAATTAAAAGTGAAGAGAATTGTTGACTGTAATTGGTTAATCTTTTATACCGATTCCGGCATAAGTTAACGGTTACGACCTTGCATAAACCAGCCTTAAGTGGGGAGCACACCAATCAAATTCATTATGCAAAAGTGTGCTCCCCGCTTTAAGACAAATATTTAAAACATAAAACATTGTCTTAAGAGTACAAGACGGTCATTCTGCTCAGGCCCTAACAATGGCTGTTTTCCTTTTAGGAGGTGTAAATCGACACAAGTTAACGCACTCGAGCACAGTTCGTCACTGTGAAATGGCAAAGATTTTAAGAAAAGATTCTATTGAAATACTCTGAGCGGATACGTTCTTCGGTTAAAAACACGCTCTCTTCTCCCGAAAGAGTTGAAGAGTCGATTGAGTTTGAGTTAAATTCTAAATGGAAAGCGACACGCGTCGATTCGTGTCCAAAATGTCAGCTGTATTCTCTAAGGGCCAGTTTCACAAAGGTCGGTTAACCGCTAACCGACCGATTAATTCATTCCGTCTCTTCTTAGATAATAAGGTGGAAAAAGATGGGGAGTCGACTGAACCGCGGTTAACAGGTAACCGGTGTTTGTGAAACTGGCCCTAAAAGATTGATGTAGCGTCGTTAAGCTTCTAGGAATTTGGGACCTTTACTCTCGGATTATTTCTATGGATTGCGACAGGAAATGTGGAAAATATTTAAGAGACATATTCTTTAAACGTTGACATCATCACGTGCCGGCTTTTTTGTAGTACATTAATTATATTTGCGCAAAGCACGTAATGTCGTTAACGTTTACAGAACAGGCCTCTAAATGTCCTTAAATTACATCATATTTATTGGAGGCACGATGCTACTTCTCGTTTTATCGTTTTCGAATAGATTGGGTCATTAGGAAATTGTTTAAGCATCAATGCGTTGCTTCTCAAAATTTCCAGTTCTGCGGAACGTCTTCAAGTTGTCATTATGTCTATCGCGGATGCGATTTTGTTATTTCTCGGTAAAATAAGACATTTTCGAGCGAATTGGAAAACTGTTTAACGAGGTGACACTCCGCTTCTAAAAACTTGCAAGTCACAACGTCCATGGCTCTGTGGCGGACGCAACGGAAAATGAGCAAGCGTCCCAAATTGCGTCATCAGACACGAACATTCCGCACCTTAATGTGTCATTTTCGAAACAGGAAACTGTTTATTGAAATGACGCCTCGCTTCTAAAAATTTTTAGTTCTACGAAACGCGATGAAAAGCGAACAAACTTGTCTCGAAGTTGCATCATTTTATCGCGACCGTGATTATGTAACTTCTCGCTTTAATATTGTTACTTTTGAACTTTTTGACTTAGGAGACCGTTCGATTAAGCGATGTCTCACTTCTCAAAATTTGCGAGACACTGGCCGGTATTAATTTTCAAACAGGAAACCGTTTATTGAAGTGACGCCTCGCTTCTAAAAATTTTTAGTTCTACGGAACGCGATGAAAAGCGAACACACTTGTCTCGACGTTGTATTTTATCGCGACCGTGATTATGTAACTTCTCGCTTTAATATCGTTACTTTTGAACCTTTCGACTGTTCGATTAAGCGACGCCTCGCTTCTAAAAATTAGCGAGACATTGGCCGGTATTCACAGCTGGATCTCACTCAAGACAGTCTTGAATTTATCTAAAGATGCTGTACGGGACATTCCATTGGCTTACGGATTATCTATAGATGATCTTGAGACAATCTCGAAGATCTGACTGTGAATATTGGCCATTATGTCGAGTCCTATGGAATGCGATGGAAAACGAATGTGCGCCTTCAGATTTCTCGCAGATACGTTTATGTTATTTCTCGCTGTAACACAGTCATTCTCGAATGAATTTAAGGAAACTGTTTAATAAAACAGCGCCCCGTTTCTAAACATTTGCAAGTAACATTTCTTTTAAACCACTACCCAGGATTCTACGGAATGCGATGGAAAAGCCGATTAAACAATTAATTTTTCACTTCTCATCAATCGTATGGATTTCTTATTGTTTAACATTTCTTGCAATTTTATCTTTTACTTCATCTTCCCTGAGTAAGGCAAAATCTGTCACAAAAACAACACTCAAGATTCCCTCAACATTAGTTTCTCTTTTCCAGTTTCCATAGAATCTTTTATAAAACGTGTGACAGACCTGTCCGTGCAAAAATATATGCTTTTATTTACAAAGGTCGGCGAGGTGAAAAGAACAGACGAGCGCATTGTTAAACCTATTGCTAAAACGCCCATGGTCACGCCGTTCAATGCTCAACGGAAGAGGCTGGGACGAGCCAAAGGTGCTCGTGAACAATTTATTTAGTCTATTTCTTTTCGATGCCGCGCTCGCTCCTGGACGGACTGTCGTTCCGCCTGTGCTTCTTGCGTTTCTTGCGCTTGGAGCTCTTCCTCCGCTTCTTCGCCTTCTTGCGCTTCCTGTCCTCCTCGCTGGAGGACGACGTCGACGACTCGGACTCGGACTCGGACTCGGACTCGGACTCGCTGCTGCTGCTCTCCGAGCTCTCGCGTTTCCTCTTGCGCTTCTTCCTGGCCTTCCGCTCCCGCCGCTTCTTCCTCGCCTCCCGCAGCTTCTTCCGCAGCTCGCGCTCCCGCAGCTCCGTCAGCGGGGTGACGTAGTTCTCGTCGCTGCCCGAGCTCGTGCTGCTCACGTCCAGCACGATCTCCTTATTGGGATCGATCTTGATGAAGTTGCGGCACTGATAGGTTAAGTGCCCGGCGTAGCCGCACTTCCTGCAGGCCGGCCGCACCTGCTCCTTGCTCTGCGGTATCAGCCGCGAAAGGACGCCGGGATCCATGACTCCCGCGGGATTAAGCGAGCGGAGGATCTCCGGGGCGAGTCTCGAGGAGACGACGCCGCGCTCCTCGGGCGACTAGCGAGGCGGCTGCTCGTTAACGACTCGCAGATCTCGGGGGGAATCGCTGTCGCGGAAACCAGTCATCTCCACCCGCGTCTACGCGAGAAACCGGGGTCCTCGACGGACCGGGCAGGCCTCGGCGGGTTGGCGAGTCGAGGGGAGTCCCTCCCGTTTCGACACGTGGAAACGGCTCGCGCGCGCCTAAAAATCATGGGCAGAAGGGCCGAGCCGCCGCGGGGTCGCTGGACGCTCGCTCGGGGAGAAGCGTGGTCGATCACGTCGCACGTGACACACACATGTACGCGACGCGCCACCAGCACACACGCGCGCCGAAACGATCGCGATGGTTCTGGGATCTTCGAAGCGTGACGTCGCTTCCGGCGCTACGGCGCGAGTCGCGCGAGTCGCGCGACCCGGGCGACCGGGGCCGCGGGCGAGCGGGCGCGCCGCGCTCCGAGACGCCCGCGTCGCGACGCGCCAATTTCCCCGGGCGATTTTCCCGGGCGAGCCGCCCGCCGCGGCGGACGCCGGGGCCGCGCGACCCCGCGCCTCAGGCGCGCGCTTGATAGAAGGTTCTGGAAGCCGGGCGGGCTTCCGCCGCGCGGCGCCTTCTAGAATGTTCTAGAATGTTCGCCGCGCTCGATAAAACCCGACGCCGAGCGCCACCGCCGGACACTCGCTGTCGTGATCTCGTGTCGGACGGACCGTCGCTTGTCGCTGAGCCCGTTTTCTCTGTGTGCGTGCGCGTCGCGTGTTTCTTCATCGTCGTCTCGCGAGTTCGTGCGTTCGGCGGTTCTTTTACTCAGACCGAGGTTAATATCCTGCGAAAATGCCGGAGGACGTGAGCATGGATGAGGGCCAGGTGGAGACCTTCGCCTTCCAGGCGGAGATCGCGCAGTTGATGAGCCTGATCATAAACACCTTCTACTCGAACAAGGAGATCTTCATCCGAGAACTCATCTCCAACTCGTCTGACGTGAGTACCTGTGCCGGCGGTAGAAATCGGCGTCGACCCATTCGGGCAATCGTCTCGATTCCCGCGAGAGGTTTCTCCCGGTTTTGCACATTACCCTGTAATTTCTTCACGTAATTCGCGTCTCGTCGGACCTCGCCGCCCATACAGCACCGAAGCTTTCAGAAACGTTGCGACAATGCTTTCTGAAATGCCTTTGAAAGCTTTGGCGTGCTGTATGGGCGAGTTTCTCGTTACATTCGCGTGTGATTTGCGTAACCTTGCCCCTTTGTCTCTGCAAATCTGGAGGCCGTGATCTGAGACAGTCGCGGCTCTGTTCCTCGTAGCTGAACCGGCTGCACTGCTTGAGTTTTTTTTTATCCCCCCCCCACCATATTAGGAAGAGAAGAATGAACTCCGAACTGGTGCGGTCAGTCGGGCTATAAAAGACACGTATGTAGGGCGATATTCAAGTTAGGCCGATGGCAGAGAAAGATCCGCGAACGCTTAAGACTGTCTTGGCCGTAGACGTGAGGCGAGGCAGAGAAAACGTCAGTCGTGGAAGGCTATTGTATACGACGTGCGTTTTTCTACGACCAAGACAGTCTTGAGCGTTTACAGCGAGGGAAAAACCGCTGACCAAAATCTTGTATGTCTGTGCCTAGTGGGCGTTACTTTAGCTTATTTTATCTTTACGATGCCCAAACTAATGCCTAGTAATGCCCAGTGATGCCGCAAATCTGTACACCGCAATACCCTCAGGGGTTTGCAGTCTCTGCTATCAGCCTCAAGAAGTAAATCGCTCGTAATATTCCCGATGCACTTCCGATATTAAAGATTTCCCGTGTTCAAATATCAATCGTTCGCTGGTCTTCAATAGTATTCGAATTTACCCAAAGATTTTCTTCTGTGATAATCCAACAAGGAATACTTTAGTTGAAGCTTGCTAAATAGCTTGTAATATTCTTGGTGCATTGTTCATTGATCTAGTCAATCTGTTTTAGGCGTTGGACAAGATCCGGTACGAGTCCCTCACGGATCCCTCCAAGCTGGATACGTGCAAGGAACTGTTCATCAAGATCGTCCCGAACAAGAACGACCGCACCCTGACGATTCTCGACTCGTAAGTGTCGATTTTTCATAGAAGCGTACGTGCGCGACGTGCGTGTCGATACGACGGTCGTGTCTAAATTGCATTTTCCTTGTCGTTGCAGTGGTATCGGCATGACCAAGGCCGATCTGGTAAACAACCTGGGTACCATCGCCAAGTCGGGTACCAAGGCGTTCATGGAAGCTCTGCAGGCAGGCGCCGACATCTCCATGATTGGGCAGTTCGGCGTGGGTTTCTACTCTGCGTATCTCGTGGCCGACAGGGTCATCGTGATCTCCAAGCACAATGACGACGAGCAGTACTTGTGGGAGTCCTCCGCCGGTGGGTCGTTCACGGTGCGCCCGGACAACGGCGAGCCGATCGGACGGGGCACCAAAATCATCCTGCACATCAAGGAGGATCAAACCGAGTACCTGGAGGAGTCGAAGATCAAGGATATCGTGAAGAAGCACTCGCAGTTCATCGGCTATCCCATTAAGCTCGTCGTCGAGAAGGAGCGCGACAAGGAACTGAGCGAGGACGAGGAGGAGGAGCCCGCGAAGGAGGACGAGAAGACGGAGGACGAGAAGCCCAAGATCGAGGACGTTGGCGAGGACGAGGAGGAGGATAAGCCCAAGGAGGAGAAAAAGAAGAAGAAGAAGACCATCAAGGAAAAGTACACCGAGGACGAGGAATTGAACAAGACGAAACCGATCTGGACGAGAAATCCGGACGACATCACGCAGGAGGAGTACGGCGAGTTCTACAAGAGCTTGACCAACGACTGGGAGGATCATTTGGCTGTGAAACACTTCTCCGTGGAGGGACAGTTGGAGTTTAGAGCGCTGCTCTTTATCCCGCGTCGCGCGCCCTTCGACCTGTTCGAGAACAAAAAAAGGAAGAACAATATCAAATTGTACGTGCGCCGCGTCTTCATCATGGACAATTGCGAGGACCTGATCCCCGAGTATCTCAACTTCATCAAGGGTGTCGTGGACAGCGAGGATCTGCCTCTCAACATCTCTCGCGAGATGTTGCAGCAGAACAAGATTCTGAAGGTCATCAGGAAGAACCTCGTCAAGAAGTGCCTGGAACTCTTCGAGGAATTGTCGGAGGACAAGGAGAACTACAAGAAGTGTTACGAACAATTTAGCAAGAATCTCAAATTGGGCATCCACGAGGACAGCCAGAACAGGAAGAAGCTCTCTGAGTTGCTGCGCTACCACACTTCCGCGTCTGGCGACGAGATGTGCTCGCTCAAGGATTACGTTGGCAGGATAAAGGAGAACCAGAAGCACGTCTACTACATTACTGGCGAGAGCAGGGAGCAGGTAGCCAACAGCTCGTTCGTGGAGCGCGTAAAGAAGCGCGGCTTCGAGGTCGTGTACATGACCGAGCCCATCGACGAGTACGTCGTCCAGCAGCTCAAGGAATTCGACGGAAAGCAGCTGGTGTCTGTTACGAAGGAGGGTCTGGAATTGCCGGAGGACGATGAGGAGAAGAAGAAGCGCGAGGAGGACAAGACCAAGTTCGAGAGTCTCTGCAAAGTTATGAAGGACATTCTGGACAAGAAGGTTGAAAAGGTCGTGGTGTCCAACAGGCTGGTCGACTCCCCCTGCTGCATCGTCACGTCGCAGTACGGTTGGACGGCCAACATGGAGAGGATCATGAAGGCACAGGCGCTTCGTGACACGTCCACCATGGGTTACATGGCTGCCAAGAAACACCTCGAGATCAATCCCGATCATCCCATCATGGAGAACCTGAGGCAGAAGGCTGAGGCCGACAAGCACGACAAGTCGGTCAAGGATCTAGTCATGTTGCTCTTCGAAACTGCTCTTCTATCATCCGGCTTCGCGCTCGAGGACCCACAGGTGCACGCGTCCAGAATATATAGGATGATCAAGCTCGGCCTGGGCTTCGACGACGAGGAAACGTCGAACGCCGAGGACGAGAAAATGGACATGGAAGTGCCGACGTTGGAGGGCGACTCTGAAGAGGCGTCGAGAATGGAGGAAGTAGACTAAGCTGCGAATTAAACCATTTACGATAAGACTTTGCCGAATACATTGTTACAATAGGTCTCGAATCCAAAGACTTGTTTCTTAGAGCCGTGAAAAGCGTGTAAGAGACTGTTTTCTTTTTAATTTTCGCGCTTGGGCGCTCCATGTTCTTATATCGTTTTAGTGCCGGCTGAATTCAATGTTAACGGTCGCTGGAGACGCGCTGATTTCTGTATCAACACTACAGAGTATCTCGAATTGTCGTCGCATGTACTCTTAATTCTGTCGACGAGGAGAGTACCGCGCGACACATTTCATTTCATTTAAACTTTCATTAGGTTACATTTTATATTTTCGTCTTCTTTTTCATCTTGCATTAACATTTCTCGTTTTGTACTTTTGCGTTCACATTTATGTTCACACTTGCGTCATTCCATCATCGAATGTCTTAAATTAATTGTAGAATAAAGATGTAAACATTGTGCGCAATAAAATAAAAGGAATCGTACTTAAATCTCAGTATATGTTCAAGCACTTCCTTCTGATCTTTGGTCTCAAGAAATTATAATTTATTCTATAATAAACTAAGAACGAACACTTCAAATAAAGTTTAATTAAAGTAAATCGCTTGATATTCTCGATGCACTTTTCAAATTAAAAATTTCTCATTCAAGTATTAACCGTTTGTTAGTCTTCAATATTACTTGAATTTACTCTAAGATTTTCTTCTGTAATAATCCAAGCAGTAATACCTTGACTAACGTGTGACAAATAACTTGTAAAAAATATTCTTGGTGCATTTTGCTAAACCTACATTTAAACTTTTCGTGTCCATGAGACGTTTAAGAGTCGCCAATATCTCATTCAAATATCAATCGTTTGTTGGTTTTCAATATCGAGTGAGTCTACTACAAGAATATCTTAAATTTTTCATATTAATGAGACACTTGAAAATAATCCCCAGTATCTCTCTTATTCGTATTACAAGTTCTCTTACAAGCTTTCCGCTCTTTCTTTCTTCCAGGTTCAAACTGGAGGTAAATTTTTCGCAGTAAATTAAAAAAAAATCAAGATCTTTTAGACACTACCGAGATAGCACACATAGTTCTATGAATATTCTTCTGGAGTGCAAATATTCTTAATTTCAGAATATTCCAATCGAATATTCTATAAATATGTATAGATTATTACAATTAGAAGTCGTATATTCGTAACAAAGAAGAACGTTTTTAAGATATTCGTCGAGAATGTTCGGAATAATTTTTCAATATTCATCGAGTTTATGTGTTGCGCATTGTTTATTGTGTAATACACTTATCTTATGCAAAAAGCAGTGAAACCCGTGATCCTACAATATATATATCTGACACGCAATATTCGACAGATTATTCTATTCACACTTGAAAAAGATTTATAGTAGTGCAAAGTCTGTCGGTAAGGAGCGAAGTGTGGTGGTCAGTTCCCGCCATTTCGCGCGACGCCATCGTGGCGGCTCGCATCTCTTTTTCGCGTTCTCGTTGTAACGGAGCTCGCGTCTCGCCCGAGCCCGGGCGATCTGTTTATTAATCCGCGACAATGTAGTCATGCAATTACATATTTACGATACAATTCGATCGCATTCAAGTTCCAAATCCTAACGAGCATAGCAACACGACGATCCACGTCTCCTCGCGGCTGACCAACCTAACCTAACCTAACCTAACCCTAACGCAAGGTAGGATGAGTGTGCTCTTTCTCGAGGAGCAGCTCACGCACACCGTCTGCACTCGCGGGCCTCGGCCGCGGGGAGAGCGGCGAGCCAAGAGAACCGTCCTCGCGTCCGCCAGGTGCAGGGGCAGCTAGGCACACGGGGCCTCCCGGCGCGACTTATCGCGCGCAACCGCGGCCGCTCTCGTGTGCGCGCCAGCCTCGATGGCCGGAGCTGCGCGGCGGTAGAGTGCGACACCGTGTCGCGCGGCGTGTTGTCGCGTGTTGCCACATCACCACCGAGCCCAAGCGAATTTCGAAGCGTGTCGTATCCCCCCCCCTCCTCCTCCTCCCCCTCCGCCCGCCGCGGTGCGTAGATCGCGCTGGATCGCGCTCGTGCTCGCGCCGATCGCACGCAGGCAGGCCACCTCGCAGCTACTCCGCGCGACAACGCACATACGTGGACAGGAAAGCGTGGAAAGGGCCGTGTGGGCCGCCGCTTGTGTCTCTCCGCTCGCCGCGCTCGCCAGCCAATATGACGACTCGTCGGTCCTGAGCCCGCAGCTCGCAGGACAGAGAGAGATAGTGTGAGAGAGAGACTCTCCTTTTTTTTCGCCCCGTTGGCGACGCGCCACGAGGAGAGTGACGGACAGCCGCGGATAAGTTACTTGCGGCAGCTGCTACCCGAGTCTCGAGAGCGCACGTGCGGATCGCTGGAACGAGCGCGCTCCGTCGTCGTCGTCGTCGATCGCACCGACCTTCCCCCGTCCGAGGACCGTCGCGCGGTACCATGAGCGCGCCCCAGGCACCGGTGAAGCTGCGCAACGGGGTGGTGAAGCAGGTGAGGCCCTCGCCCCGGCACCGCTACTCGCGCCGCGACGTCGATCCCCCGGCCAGCTGGCGGGAACCGCGCCGTGGAACATATGGTCGCGATCCGGAGCGTCGTCGCCGCGGCGCCCCCCCGGCGCCCTTCGGACGCTGTTCGCCACGTCGGGGGTGTTTGCCTTAACGTCCACCCGCCCCGTAATTTGCCCCTCCGGAGTTCCCTGCGGCCCGCGAAAGCCGCACGGAGCAGTAATTGCGTAACTGGTATTGTAATTCGAGATGCGGCGCGATGCCGGATAAGCTTTCTCACGCCGTGAAATTTTGATCCCCCCAAGGTGACGTCGGGGGACACCGTTGTCATCCGCGGGCAGCCTATGGGCGGCCCTCCACCTGAAATAACCATCACTCTGTGCAACATTACCGCGCCAAAACTGGAGCGTTGGAAAGGAAACGACAGGTACGTTAGAAGCGCGTGTTCGCGCCGTACGGAGGACTGTTGCTCGTCTGATTTCTTTTCCTAATTTTTGAGGCGAGAACAGACAGTCGCAATGATATCTTGTTAACTCGTAGCACGGATGAGACCAAAGACGAGCCGTACGCTTGGGAGGCGAGGGAGTTCCTACGCCGAAAGCTGATCGGCCAAGACGTCACCTTCGCCACTGAAAAGTCGGTCAACACAGCCAGAACGTATGGGACCGTCTGGTTGGGAAAAGGTACTTGGCCGATTTGTTTCCACTCTCGTCCCTGCTGGAATTCGAAGATTGTGTCCTCGCGTCTGAGACCCGGCTTCACCAACGTTGCTCAACTCTAAGCTTATCTTAATACGTTCTTTGTCTCTTTCCAACTGTTAAACCTAATCTATAATGTGTTCTTTGCGTCTAGAAACATTCTATTTTGTAGCCAATAAGTAAGCATTGTTTTCTGTTCGTGCATTGGTGAATTAGTGCAGTAAGTTAGAATGAGAAAAGAAATGTACTTACTCAAATTTATTGCACTAGTTCACCAGTGTAGCAACAGGAAACAGGCCTATATATTTAAAAAAATTGTGCAAGTTGATAAATTGTACATTACACTTTGTGCAATCGTACGTTGTCGACAAAGTTTTTAAGCGTTTTGATTTGCTTATATAAAATAGAATGTTTCTAGGCGCAAACATTGCAGATTAGGCTTTACTTTAGCAAGAGACAAACGTGAATTAAACTAAGATTAAAGTTACGCGACGTTGGTGAGATCGGGCCTAATTGCGATTGTCATGCATGTAGATTGGGCTTTACTTCAGCAAGAGACAAACGTGAATTAAACTGAGATTAAAGTTAAGCGACGTTTGGTGAGATCGGGCCTAATTGCGAATTGTCGTGCAGACAGGAATGGCGAGAACGTGATCGAGACCCTGGTGTCCGAGGGGCTGGTCACTGTCAAGAAGGACAACCGCAATCCCACGGTCGAGCAACAGCGATTGGTCGAACTGGAGAACGTCGCGAAAGTCGCGAAGAAGGGAAAGTGGTCGGACACGCCGACCTCCGAGCACATACGGGACATCAAGTGGACCGTCGACGATCCGCGAAAATTGGTCGAGAAGTTCGGTAAGAAGCCGATCAAGGCGGTGATCGAGTTCGTCTTCGACGGCTCCACCGTCAAGGCTTTCCTCCTGCCGGATTTCTACAACATAACGTTGATGATCTCGGGCGTTCGCTGTCCCGGCTGGCCCAATGGACGTCGCGAGAACTCCGTCGGCGATCCTTACGCGGACGAGGCTAGATACTTCGTCGAATCGCGGCTCTTGCATAGGGATGTCGAAATCGTGCTGGAGTCGGTCAACAATAATAACTTCATTGGCAGCATCATTCATCCTAAGGGTAAGCTTGTTGAACACCTGGCAACCAAGTGCCTGTACACGTTAAACTGTGCACCAGAGTTGGGAAGTAACTCGTTACTTGTAACAGTTACTTCTTTTGGGGACTCTGACTTAAATTCGTTACTTTCTCTCCAGCCGTAACTCGGTTACATTAATAGTCACTTTATATATTCGATATTTTAAACCTCCACAGAGATCACATTAGGCCTTGCCTTTGCGCAACGCCATCGACACTTTACAATTCAAATGCAGATTTGATACTTTTACTTCTATTGCAAGAAAGTAACTACAAAGCAACGACACGTTACTTGTTGAGTAACTGTAACGCGTAACTCTTCAGAATCGGTAACTTGTAACCGTAACTAGATGCTTTTTATAAAGTAACTTTCCCAACCCTGCTATGCACGATAAACGTTAGAAATCATTGAATTGCGTTCAATGTCTTTTACGTTACCAGGGAACATCGCCGAAATTCTGCTGAGCGAGGGTTTCGCGAAATGCCAGGATTGGTCGATCAGCAACAGCAGATCCGGCGCGGAGAAGCTGTACCTCGCCGAGAAAGCGGCGAAGGAGGCGCGTCTACGCTTGTGGAAGGACTACAAGCCGTCCGGGCCGCAGATCGAGTTTACCGGCACGGTGGTGGAAATCGTCAACGCGGACGCGCTCATTATCCGAACGCAGAACGGGGAGAACAAGAAAGTATTTCTGAGCAGTATTCGGCCGCCCACCCGTGAGAAGAAGAACACCGAGGACGGCAACAATACTGCTCGGCCGAAGGACTTCAGACCTCTCTACGATATACCGTGGATGCTGGAGGCGCGAGAATTTTTGCGCGAGAAATTCATCAGGAAAAACGTAAAAGTGGTGGTCGATTACACGCAGCCGGCCAGGGACAATTTCCCGGAGAAGCTGTGCTGCACCGTAACCTGCGGCAAAACGTGAGTGTCATGCAATTGTGAGCAAAATCGTGAGACTCGTGCGGTGACTCGTAGAATAAGCTTTGTTCTTCTCTTTCCTGTAAATTTTGAAAATATATGTACATCTTCTCGTTCACACGTGCATTACTTTTCAGTCTATTTCGTATATTGAAAAGAAACTCGACGTCAAATCTCAAGTTGAGAATTCGTCTCAGAAGTTAGTCGACTCCATCTTTCTCTATGTTATTATCTGAGAAGAGACAGAATCGAGTAACCTCTGGTTAACAATTGACCAGGAAATGGAAAACCGGGCCCAAGAATGGTCGACAATTGATAATTTCTATCTTGTTATCATGTCAACAGAAACATCGCGGAGGCACTGGTCGCCCGAGGTCTCGCGCGAGTCATCAAGTACAGGCAGAACGACGATCAGCGTTCCTCTCATTACAATCTCTTGCAAGTGGCCGAGAGCAAGGCGGAGAAATCACAGCACGGGCTGCACGCGAAGAAAGACATTCCAGTTCACAGAATAGTGGATCTCTCGAACGATCCCTCGAAGGCGAAGGCGTTCTTGACGTCGCTCAAACGAGCGCAGGGGATCAGAGCGGTCGTCGAGTTCGTGACGAGCGGCTCGCGGCTGAAGCTCTACCTTCCCAAGGAGGATTACGTTATCACGTTCGTGCTGGCTGGAATAAGAACTCCGCGCTGTCAAAGAACGTTGCCCGGCGGTGGCGTGGTGAAAGCCGACGAGCACGGCGAGAAGGCTCTCGCCTTCACCAAGGAGCACTGTTTCCAGCGGGACGTGGAGATCAAGATCGAGAACACGGAAACGAAACTGAGCGGTTTCATAGGCTGGTTGACGGTCAACGACATCAACATGTCGGTCGCTCTAGTCGAGGAAGGTCTGGCTGAGGTTGTGAATTTCCCGGACTCCGGAGAACTCACGAGAACTCTCAAGGCCGCGGAGGAAGGTGCGAAAACAAAGAAGCTCAATGTAAGTGAATGCGCTTAATTCTTGGGTTAATATCTTTCATTGAAGAAACTTATAAATGTGACTTACGTCGTAGATCTGGAAGAATCGCGTGGAAGTGCCGGTGGAGACCGACAAGATCGTGGACGAAAAGGAGGGGCAGGAGCGGAAGATCGACTACCAAAAGGTTGTCATCACCGAGGTCACCGACGAACTCCACTTCTATGCCCAGTTCGTCGATCAGGGCACCCAGTTGGAGAGTATGCTTCTGCAATTGCGCCAGGAGTTGGCGGCTAATCCGCCGCTTCCTGGCGCCTACAAGCCGACCCGGGGAGATCTGGCGGTCGCGAAATTCAGCGGCGACGATCAGTGGTACCGCGTGAAAACGGAGAAGGTCTCCGGCAGCAATGTCAGTGTGTTCTACATCGATTACGGCAACAGGGAGACCCTCAACGTCACGCGAGTCGCCGATCTGCCTGCGCGTTTCGCGACCGACAAGCCGTACGCCCACGAATACGCACTCGCGTGCGTGACCCTTCCGAGCGACGTGAGTAACGGGTGTTTAAACTCGGAAAATAAATCGACGGAGAGTAACCATTCTCGTTTGTTGACGATATATTTTTGCAGACGGACGACAAGAGAGCGGCGATAGACGCATTTAAGGAAGACGTATTGGATAAAATTCTGCTCTTGAATGTCGAATACAAATTAGGCAACAACGTAACTGCCGTGACACTGATGCATCTCAACACAAACGAAGATATCGGAAGGGGTCTCATTTCCGACGGATTCTTGCACGTTCAAAAGCATCGAGACAGGAGACTCACCAAATTGGTTAGTCCCTGCACTCGTCCACTGCCAGAATTTCTTCTTTATTGAAATGTGGATTCTCAAACCCATTTTCTACCACCGTTATCATTGTTATCTCTGTACTTGTTCGCTCTATTATCAGCAATCTAAATTTTTCCACTCAACCTCTTATAAAATCGAGATGGGATGAAGGTTGAACCCGATATCTGCCGAGTCACGTATCATCCCTACTGCGATATAAAGTTTATTGCATTTAACACGCGTGCGTCGATTATTTGCAGATCGAGGAATACAAGAAAGCCGAGGAAGACGCGAAGCACAACCATCGCAATATCTGGATGTACGGGGATGTAAGGCCAGAAGACGACGACAAGGAATTCGGGTTGTAATTCATATGCTCAATAATGGGGGATAAGCACTATCAATATGGGGGAAGAGAAATGACAGATCGTGTTTAAAAAAGAAATCACGTAACAAGCAACAGAATATACGATTCTATGTATGCTACATAGATACAAAAATAACAATGTCGATATGAGAGTCACATGTCGCGTTAGTCTCAATGCAACTATATATCTCAGTATATATAAAAAGAATTGTACATAACGATTTTAATAATTTCTGTAATGAACAATGAACAAAGCGTGTGCGCATGCAGGTAGTCCTTGAACGAGACTGCGCAGCGATTGGCATTGCATGTGATCTCATCGACATGAGCATTCGTTAATTCGGTGCCACAAATACAAATTGTTTGAGGACCTGATGTTTTCAATCCGGTACGAAATCCTTCAATGTGCAATTCAACACGTTAGATATATTCATGTTAAATGCATCAATTGCTTTTCCTGGATGGATAAACGATAATCATGTTTAACTCATGTACGCGCTACTCTTTTCAAGTTTTTATATGCAAGGATTGATCATGTAGCTGTAGAATTTGTAATCGCAGATTTCATCGGGCACTGATAAAACCAAGATACGCACGATTCATATCAGTAAAACGTCAGAGTATTTTCAATTGAAGCGACATCAAGCGACAAGCGAGAAACACATTTTTCAACTTTTCAACGAGGCACGTGCGTGCGCGTGTGCACGCAAATTCAGCATAATATAAACGGGGGAATATATAGTAATAATAATGTGAAGGAAGATACTGTAAAATTATACTGTCTTTCTTGCCATCTCTTTCCGGAACGAATCTTTCACGTTATCTATGTACGTTGTATGCATAAACGAGTTTGATATTAATGTACTTACAACAAATTATTTATGCACAGTTGTCCTACAAATCAGTCCTACAAATTGCAGTACAACAAGATATAAATTTTTAATGTTCAAAATATATTTACGATAAACAGATGTTATCTACTGTGTGTTCGGGTGAAGTAACTCGCAATTTTCTGCGGTACAAAGAATATGTGTTAGATTCTATGCACCACAGAACAAACTCGCATGTTTATTTTTTATCAGAATTGCTATACATATATATTACATTTTAGCGCATCTTCAATTTATATCACCTTTAACCACGCTGGGAATTTCTATCTTTTTTTTTTTAGACACTTTGTGATGATAAACTATCGTTTGTGATATTTTGTTCATGTTATCACGTTATCATTGACTCTATACTTTGTAAATAAAATCCTATTGGATGTTTGATATGCCGTACACACTGTAGGATCAGAAGAGTTTTCTTCTCCAAAAAGAAAGACTTGTTTAAATTATGTTAAGAGTATTACGATTCTTTTAAACATCCACAAGATATACCGGAATTTCTGTTGTATTGATATATATATATACTTGACTCCTTTACATTACTGTTATACGTAGCGATAATACTTTATATTTCGAATATTTTTCTCTTTCTGCAATAAAATAGAATATATTGATAAACACAGAGTATCGTAACTATGTTGTAGAAATGTCTGAAGCAATGATCAAGAATAAATGCAAGAGGAATGTTTTCCAATATGTTGAGCATATTAAAATTCGTCATACCTTGCATCGCCGTTCGCGCAGCAAAAATACAATCTGATGCATTCGGTGCACGTTTCTTGCGAACCTTTTGTCTGAAATTAACTCGGCAGTTCTCTCCAGGTTGCGATTAGCGTTCCGTTATTGATACGCAACGAATGGTTTTTCCGTACGAGGTGAGAGGCGAATATCTAATATATCGAGGTGTTATTTCGATTAATAAATCGAATATTTTATTATAAAGTAAAAATCATTTTAATACCGAAAACTTTACACATATGGTATAATTGTCATTCTTAGGAAACTACGTGTTCAATTAACTATATTTACTATACGTTTCATTACACGCCCGTCCCAACAACACGAGTATAAATCGTCTTCACACCACGCGAGTCCCCGTACAAAGTCTTGGTGTACAGCATCTTCGTGTATCAGCAGCATTTCTCTATAGGTATCGATTACTTTTACTACTTCGCTGTCAAAACAACACGCTAACTGTTCTTTCCTAGAAAATAGATAAGTTATCATAAATTTCGTTCGCACTCCGAGAGTGCACTGTGTTAAGGCCCGTGTCCGCGACGCCGGAACTTGGTCCAAGTTCTAGTTTCGAGAAGTGTGTAGTAAATCAATTTGCAGCTATTCTGTAACAGCTGCAAGTTGATTGGCTACACATTTCTCGGCGCTAGAGCTTGAACCAAATTCCAGCATCGTGGACACAGGCCTTAAGTGATGTTTCGTACGAGTCGTGCAATCAAGTAAATCGATTGATATTTCCGATGAATTCTCACCTCTCTGGATTCGGATTAAACGACAACTTGTGTACGCCTCTGTCAGATTCGACTGATTCGTGTAACGGAGTACCCGCTTGCCTGACGTCAATTAGTACAACGCTGCCATTAGCTGTACCTATTGCTATGAGATGATCCAAAGTAGCGTTCCAAGCTACTGCCGATAGGGGAGTATTATTATTGTCCTTGAAGATACCTGTAAAAGAGGAATAAAATGTAGCAAGCTTGAAGCGGGACGAATGCAGCAAACCAACTTTAATCAAACGTACAACTCGCCGGTTTGGCTCGCCTGATGTCCCATAGCAGTGACTCGCCATCTAAAGACGCGGATACAAATGTGGAACTGCACATGGGCTTGACGTCCGTACTAGTGACGATGTCCAGGTGGGCGAGGTTGTACGAGTAACTCGCGATCAAGTCCTCCGTGTCCCAGATCTTCAGGCTGCAACACAAGCTTAGTGAACCTCCCTGCCTCGGATCCCAGCGCTCCTCGGAAACGATCTTACCAGCAATCCATTCCACCCGTGACGATGTTTCTCCGATTGGAGAACACGGACATCGTCAGGATGCTGTCCTCGTGCTGACAGGCGTACGAGAGAGGCTGGAACTTGGCCTCCTCGTCCGTTTCGACTATCTCGTGGACCTGCACGGCTCCACTGTCCTCCGCGCTGACGAATCTGCTCTTGCCCAGGTAAACGGCATCCGTGACGCCGCTGCTCACCCGCTGCGTCACGGCGGCTCTCTCCTGCGAGAAGTCCGAGAGGTCCTTGTAGTGCCAGAGAGTGCCGTTCCAGTAGAGATCGACCATGTTGGTGCCGCCGAGAAGAGCGTTGTTCTCTGCAACACAAAAAATCGCCTGTCGGTCACCAACGAGCGAGGGAATCGAGTCGCGGGCGCGGCGCTCCTTACCGTCGTAGATCTCGAGGAACTGCAGCTGCTTGGTGTAGGCGGGCGTCCGGTTCTCTATGAACGACATATTCCTGAAAACGTCCCCGCTCGAGTTCGGCGTCGTGGTCCAGGTTTCCATCGCGGCGGCGACGACGGGAGGGTCAGTCGAGCGACGATTCTCGGCTCCTGTCGGCGATCTCCTACCCTTCACCGCGTCAGAGCATCGATTCTACAATTTCGCGTTTTGCTTTTTTCTTTCCTCTCAAGGTACTTTCAACTCGAGGAGTTGTACGGCACGCGCGCGAGCTAGAACCTTCAATTCGGTGGACGTAACTCGGGTGATTTCTCTTGGCGATAAAGCCGCACGCCACACCGCGTGCTCCGGCCGCTCCGGAGTCCGGTTCCCCCGCTATCGATTGTCACGCGAGAGCGCGCGGTGAGGTTAGGGGCGCGCGTGCACGCAATACGCGCGCAACAGATCCGTTCTGCGCGTGCTCGCGAAGAGCGAGGAGGAAGAGCGGCAGGCAGAGACGGGGGAGAATTAATTCGGCCGCGCGAAAGCGCGCGGCCGGAAAAAGAACGGGCAGGGTCGGGACGTGATAAATAAATTATGCGGGGCATCGGCGAGAGAAACTGCGAGCGTCGGCGAGGCCGCGTCTCGGCGCTCGCTCTCGGGCGAGAAACGAGAGAGAGAGAGAGAGACAAGGACAGATAAATAGATAAACAGACAATTTGTCCCTCAGTGGCTGAACTTCCTGCACTCATTCTCCCCCTCTCCTTGTCCCGCGCGCGCGCGCGGAGACCGCGGAGAGTGCAGATAAGAACGAAAAAGTGCAGCTGGAGAAGCGAGCGTTACCGGCCGCCGCCGCGGCGGCGGCGACGGCGGCGGCGTGACGTAACGCGCGGCCTCTAGCACCTCCGCGCAGTTTCCCCGTGGCGGCGCATGCGCATCGGCGAGCGGCCGCGAATCGGAATCAGTCCAACGGAATCTGTCGGAAGAGAGGTACGGCGCGGCGCGGCACGGGACGGGACGGACACGACGTTGTACACAGGCGACGCGGGGAATCGCGACGAGCTAGAGCACCAGGCGACCTGTCAATACGCGGGGCCCAACGCGTCGTCGACCACCCGTTGGCGCTTCAGCAGACGGCGGCGGCGGCGGCGGCGGCGGAGGAGGAGGCGGCGGCGGCGGCGGAGGCGGAGGCGGAGGAGGAGGCGACGGTGTAGTAGTAGTGTTGGTGAAGAAGACGAGGAGACGGTGGTGGTGGCGGCGGAGGAGGAGGTGGTGGAAGACAGCAACAAAGCCGTGACTCGTCCGTCGGGAAGTTCGTCTTGGTCCGCCAGTCAGGATGTCGTCGAAGCCCGCCGAAAAGCCCGAGCAGGTTTTAATTATCGAGCCGCAGAACGAGCTGCGATTCAGGGGTACGCTGAAAAACTGCGATCAGGAGTGATAATCCTCCACCCGCTTCTATCCATTGCGTTTCACGCGCCTCCCCTTGTCGCGCTGTCCGCGCGAGCGAGCGAGCGAGCGTCGTCCGTCGCGACGTTCGCGGCGAGGAGCGAGGCGACGACGGGGCTACGTCGTCAAGATGACGTAAGGCGCTCGCTCGGCCGCGCGGCCGCCGCTCTCGTTCCCTTCGCACGTTCCTCCGCGCGTTCCTCGCTCGCCACGGCACGGCGGGCCACGCTGCGCGCACCGCCCAGCCGTTGCCGTGCCGTGCCGTGTCCGTGCCGTGCCGCGCGCAGCGAGAGGCCCCGAGGTCGCGCGGCACGGCCGTGCCTCGGCGAGCGTGTGCGACGTCGCCAGCCCGTACCTAACCCCATCTGTCCCGTCCGTACGTCAAGTCCGCTGTCAGCCGCCGCGAGGCCGCGAGGCCGTCCCGGTTTCCCTCGCGTCCCGAGGCGAGGAGGATTCTCTCCTCCGGGAATTCACTCCCGCTCGTCGGGACGTGGAGGGAGCGGAACGAGCGGGCAGGTGACGAGACAGTCGAACGGGCCGATGGCTCTCGCGCCCTCTCTGGCCCGCTTCCGCGTTTCCGAGCCCGTTTTTCTTTCCCCCTCGCGCGACGGAGACGAGAGAGAGAGAGAGAGAGATCGGCGCTTCCCGGTGTCTCGCAGCGGGAAACGTGGCGCGGGCCGGGCATCGATCGGCACCCGCGCGCGCGACACGGCGCCTCCGGTGCCCGGCCCGCCGCGGGGACGATCGGCTGATCGCCGGATACGAGGAAAACCCATTTATTGAATTTATACCGCTGCTCCACTTAGCTCCGCTTCGCTATGCGCGCCACGGTAATCCATAAGAGCCTCGTTTATTTATGCCCCGCCGACGGCGGGCCGGCGGTAGATCGCGGCGATCCTCCGGCGATTCCCTCCTCCCCCTCCCTCCCCCCCGCGCGCGGGGGGAGGGAGAGGGAGGGACGTTGCACTTCGGTTCCTCCGCGGCGGAACGTCTCGCGTGGCGGAGCGGATTTTATTCCCGGATTTGTCGGTTCCCCGGCCGCGGTGTCTCGTTTCTGTTTTACGCGCGCGCCGATCGTCGCGAAAACCGCGGCTCATTAATTATGCTCAAATCGAGTGACGTAACGTCCTTCGACTATGACCGGCGTGTCGCGCGCGCGTACGTGTGCGCCGCGTATCGCCGGGGAGGAGACGAACACTCGAGCCACCGATCGCGGCCGAGTTTACGCCGCCTCGGCGATCGAACGGGCCGCGTTATCGGGAGCGGGACGCGCCGCCTAAATCGAAAACACTCCGCGGCCGTGGCCCCCAGCTGATTATTCTTCCCTCTTCCCCCCCAATATTTTTCTACAGCCGCGCTCGACAGCGAAAATCCGAGGCGTCGGAGTTACCTTTCCTCTCTTTCTGTCTCGTTCTTCCCTCTCGCTCGCTCTGACGCAAGAAAGCGCTCCGACGCCTCGGAAGTTACCTGAAGTTTCGTTCGAAAGATACTTGGAAAAATTTGACAATCCTGCCGTTTCCACATAACGCAAGAACGGCCGGAGATAAATAATTGGCGTTGCATTACTTAAATTTACAGAAACGCAACATCGCGATTTGCATCGAGAATTATTTGACGCCAGAAAATGACTAACAATGATCAAGCTTCTAATCGACCACGATTGGCGATGCGTTTTCGATACAGAAAATTTGTCGCGAAAAGTATTACCTCGGCCAGGGTAATCAAAATTTGCAGTGCCGAACGCAGCTTACGGAGAAAGGTCTCCTATTATGAGACAGCGGGGGGCTTCTGTTAAATTAAGCGGGCATCGTCGGTTGATCCCGCCATGAATTTATTGTCCTTGGAGCGAGATCTGTCTAGGGGAGAACTGATTGTTAGATCGTGTGATAGGATTTGCGGCTGAATTCGGGTGTCGAAAACCTGCTGTCTCATAACAGAGGACTCTCCTCTATGTAGCAGATTCGTACCGCGCTCTAGTATCTCGTCGACCCGACCACTATAATTCAGCGGTAATAAAGAATGGCAGTTGTAATTAGCGGCAGCTGATTTCCACGGTCAAGCTACTAACAGTAACTGGCGAGTCTACTTGGCCGTTTTGTGTATTCCTCTCGCGAGAGAGATTTAAACGTTATCTAATGGAACGATGACTAATAATTGAATGACTGGCGAGTAATGACGTACGGAGTGCACTTGATCTTGAAGTAAATCTAGTAGCTTTACCTAGTTCCGTTAATCTTGTTATATGTAAGGATATAAAAACGTACGCGTTAATTATGCAGCAGCTGACTGGGTACGTTAGTAGAGCTCGTGAAAGAATGTAACAATGTATCAAATAGTTGCGCGTTCATCAAGTATTAATATTCATGTTCTTTGAACTTTGTTACCTCGTGCCTCTTTAGAATGGCTTTATTTCGCTATTTGTTCTTGATCTTCACGGTCTCTATCGTATTACGAAAAGAAAGAAATGTAAATGTCCGCTCGACGAACCGAATTCGCGCGTAGACAGCCGTTTTACCATTGCAAGTTGCCGCAAGCGTTTTAATTTGTCGTTCACTTTGTTGCAGGCCCATTTACAGGCGGCCCAGTCACATCATATATAAAATTAATAAATCCAACGAATAAAAAGGTATATTTTAAGATAAAGACAACTGCCCCAAAGAGATACTGTGTACGTCCAAACTCTGGAGCTCTCAAGCCAAAGGATGTCACTGAAATAGCAGGTTAGTCTACGTCACGAAAGTTAAATTGGTAATTTCACCTTTTTTTTTTAAATACATCCCTCCATTGAAGTTGTATAATTCGCGCATGTCTCCGATGATATTATTCATACTCGTAAAATTCAGGAAAGTATCGTAAACCGCTCTGTTACAGTATGCTTACAACCGTATGATTTTGATCCGTCGGAGAAAAACAAACACAAATTCATGGTGCAGACTGTGGTAGCACCGGATGATGATGATGATGAATATCCAATTGATGTGGTAAGAGAGTATAACGTTACATTGAAATCAATACAAACGTGTATCAGCAAATAAACGATGCTCATTGTTTTAATTGTTCTTTCAGCTTTAAAGGCTAATCTACAACGTGTCTTTTGCATCTAGAAACATTCTGTTTTGTAGCCACAAATACGTTGAAAAAATTTGGGCGAGTTGATCACGAGACACGGTAGTATAAGCGTAGCTAGAACCGCGCGCGCGCGCGAGACCGATCGTGTAGAGTACGCGAGTTGACGGACCCTCAGATTTTCGGATCTCAACGACTGATCTGACGTACTTCTAAGTGCGCTCAATCGATAGCGTGGGCTCGATTTGCGTAATAAAAGTGTTTTTATTCTTCTCCTACATGCCCCATGAGTGGAGATATTGCAAAGTCCGAATTGTCAGATCTCGATCTTTAAGAAACGTCTTTGTCGTCCTGGTCGACCAGGCAGTTAAATTGTACGTTGTACAATCGTAAATTATCGACAGATTTGTCAAGTGTTTTGATCTGCTTATATAAAACAGGATGTTTCTTGACGCAAAGAGCACATTGTGAGATTAAGCTTAAATGATGTACATTGTCTTTTTGTTTTAGTGGAAGGACATGAATCCAGATCAATTAATGGACTCTAAACTGAAATGCGTCTTTGAAAATCCCGTAACTAGTACTACTACTGGTACGGTGAAAACGACTGCAACTTGCACAACGGCTAAGGCAGACTCTAACACGACTAACGGGAAAAACAAATCGGTCGGCGATTCGGTCAAATCGTCGCCCAAGGTAAGAGTAGGTGTATCGTTTGGACTGTACATAGATTGACAATACAAATCATCTGTTACATCTTCAAACAGTATGATTCGTCTCAGGTTCTCGGTGAGGCAGAAGAGAAACTGTTGAAAGCTGCGCAAGAGGTTAATCAGCTTAGGGTAGAGGAAAGCACGCTTAGGCAGGAAAATCTTCAACTTAGGGTGAGTATAAAATCAACTGTTTTAAGCTTCTCTAAAATTTCGAGAATTTGACGTCATTTTCTCGGAATTTTATCTTTTACCTTTCATTGTTGCATTTTGAATTTGTTCTAGCTGAATTTACCTTAAGTTTCATCGAAAAGATATTACAGAAATTTGACAATCTTGCCATTTCTATATAATGTAAGAACGACTTAAATAATTGGCATTTAAATTAAATATAAAGAAAGAACCATAAGAAAATCAATAGTCGCGAGAAGTCTATTAATAATGTGATCGTATGTATTTATCTGTAGGAAGATTTAATGAAGTGGCGAAACGCGGCAATGGGCAATGACGGTGGTAACCTTGCAGCAGCCAGAGGACTAACCTCGCAGAGCAATAGCCAGTTATCTCCGACATCCACTAGTATTCTCATCGCCATTGCCATGGTTATAGTCGGCTACTTGCTGGGAAAACTAATCTGAACAGCCTTTATCTTACTGTATACCTCAGTGTATCCCCACCGCCCCTCAAGTTTTTTTAGTCTGTCTTCTGCCGTCATATGCCATCGTTCGATCGCAGACACAGACTCCAAACGTTGCGTTACTCGAATGTTCATAATAAATGCTATAAACACGAACGGTAGTGGTCTACATTAATAGAATTGCTCGTTACGGGTGTGTGCTTAACCTGGTAAAATGCTTGATTTAAAATTTATTTAATTTTATTTATTTCTCGTCTTCACTTCACGAAGAACACAAACTTAACTAGAAGACGCCAAGTAACGCTCCGGTTTATGTTTACCGTAATTGCAGTCTCATTTTTGCGCTTGTAAAGGAATCTTCGCTGCATTTTCGCGCCCCGCCCCAAAGTAGCGTTGGACAAAATGTGCCCGCGAATAACGAGTAATGATTTCGTGTTTATAAATACATATTCAAAAGTAATTATTCGTCATTCGCATTTGCTCGACGCCTTTGAAAATCTTGTTCGCTACTGGGAAATATAAGTTACCAATTTACTGATTGTTATTTATCTCGCACTCTTTCTCGAATTTATATACCACTTATTCGCAATAGGCCGAACAGTACTGATGCGAAAGATCACACACGAACGAGTGAGGGTGCTATTACTGTCATATAGCCTCTTTCTCTACGTAATATTAACTCTTACGTCACATAAATAATATTGTACAATCGGAGGCAGAAATAGAGTGTTGCTGGTGCCGCATGTACCGCATGAGAACGGTTGTTGCCCACGTTCGCTCGATTTGCGCTGCTTCAGTGCATCCGCGCCGGGCGCCGTTCTCGTTCCCCGTTGTACATATTGTGTCCATTTGAAAAAAAATATATATAACACACATAGTCGGGGCCGGAGGGGAAGAGTGGGATTATAGAGGCGGGGCTGGCTGATGGAGAGTAGTGGTTCATGATCCAACAATTGGTCGTGGCTGGTAGTTGTATTCCGCCAGCGTTGGTATATTAAACGGAAAAAAGAGAGAGAGAGAGAGAGAACGAGAAGGAACGCTATAAAATGCATTGAACTTACTTGACGCTTCAGTGTACTTTTTATTTCTTTATGTTTGTCTTACGAAAATAACGAATAAAGATATGTCTCGGATATCACAAATACCGAAGGGTTTTGAATTATGCACCTATCTGCTGGAATTGCCGTTCAGATTGAGCGTCGGTGCGCGACAATTAAGTATATATACATGGGCATGATGATACTTGTCGAGGAGTCCGAAGCGAGACGAGCCCCTTCGATCGAGTCTCGCGAGCTGACGGGCTGACCGCGGGTTGTCACATTAAAGTACTATTGTTGAGCACGTAATACTTATCTCACACACAGGTATAGAGATATTTATATAACTGTGCCTTAGGACTAGAGGCAATATAGCGTAAACACGATTTCAACCTTACTGGCTTCCTCCGTCGCTCCGAGTTTTTTTACACCGCCCCCTTACTTGGTCCTCCTCGGCGATCCTTACAGCGAGCTACGAATTCCCGCGTGTCTCGCGGCTCTGTAATATAACGACACAAAGAGGATGTAAAGAATACGTTCCGCCGTTAAATTAGAATACTGTATAAATGCGTTCTGCCGCGACCACGCGTGTACTTTATGTCGGTGTGAAACCTTCCATCGCTGTATGAGTTTCTGATTCGGAGAGGAGCGATTCCATTCGGACTTCTCTTCAGCAAGCGTCACTTTCCGAGACATTCCTGTGTAAACGTTCGGTTTCGGCACGCGAGAAGGACTCAGCGGCTCCTACAGCGAGAGAACGATCTTAGATCTTGATTCGTGTAAAGTCGAGCTCTATCTCTCCCTACATACTATATACACACATATATATAGATATATTTTACATGTGTGTCCCGTGTATTAATTATGGAGTCCGTTAATTCGAACTTGATCTGTGTCGCGTCTTTGTAAAACAGAATATACATATACATATGCGTGCATATATGTAGAATATATCATGTATATGTGCGTATGTGTATATGTATGTATGTTATGTATATGTATGTATATTCGTGCCTAAGAGAGGGCAAATGCACGTTTTTCACATCTCGTGCGTTTTAACTGCACCAGAGGTACTCTCCGTATTCCGTAGAAGAGAAAAGGAAATGAAGCGATGCAATTAGTATGCACAGTGCATAAAACATCCCTTAGATACTACTACGTTAGTGAGATTTTATTACAGATATATATACCAAGAATTTGTTGTATATGATCTATATATGCGATTGTTATACGTATAATTATATATATATATATACATATATATATATATATATATCATTACCGAGTTTTTGCGGTTTTGCTTCATGCGTGACCACGTCGTCACGCGCGATTAATCTATTAACAGCGATTTCGTTAACACTCGTGTTTGAATAAAAGTATTCTATTAAAGAATGTACCACGCAGACTTCTCATGTTTCGACACCACTGGCGGATAATTTGTGACACGCGTTCGCAGCGATCCCTCCGATTACGCGGCCGGGATCGACGGTCTCCAACGGCTGACCTAAAGCCTGAGTCTAAATTCATGAATTGTCGTCGCGCTTAACATTTCCTTTCTTTCATTTACCAGGAATTTAAACGTATAAGAGTTGCGGCATCGTAGCCCAACATCACGTTTCGCGATACGCTCTCTTTCGAGAACGAGAGGGTATGACGCACGTTTGCGGTGGAGAACGTGTCTGACTCGACGTCTCGCAGAGATATATGACACATTCGCGAATAGAATCAAGCTTCGCTTTTAATCATTTCATGTATTTACGTGATTTCCCGAGACCCGATCTGAACGGTTTCCGACGGCCGACCTGAAGTCCTGAGTCCACTTTCCATAAATTGTCATCGCGTTTAATATTTTCCTTCTTTCATTCGCCAAGAATTTAAACGTACAAAGGTTGCGGAATCATAATCCAATATCACGTTCCGCGACAAGCTCTCCTTCGAAGATATCTCGCGGCGATACGATGCATTCGCGAATGGAATCGGGTTTTCACTCTTAGTCATTTCGCGTATTTACGTGATTTCCCGCCGCGATCTGAACAATAGAACTCGAGTCCGTGGTGCTCGATTAAAAAACATAAATATTATATCAGAGATATCGATTCGCCGGTAACCAGTTTTAATTGGATATTAAAGCTTTAACGTTAATTATTTCTTCGCGCGGGGGACCGAGCGAAACGGGGAAGAGGAGACGTTTCGCGGGCGACGAGACAATTCGAGCGAGCACCCTCGTGACGCGAGACAGCGTCCCCGAAAGGGGTAGCATCCCTGTGGAAGGAGAGCGCGTAGGTAGAATCAAAGTGGAGTAGGTCAACTCATAACCAGACCGCGATCTACGTATGTCTCCCTACGCGCCTATATTTTCGGTCACATCGGAGGGCCGCGTCCACCCATTGCGGTAAGAAACGTCAAAAGTACAAGACCTCCGAACCGTCGTCGCGGGGGCGGAGCGGAAGGGGGGGGGGTGAGTTCGGCTTTTCCATATCCGTTTCCCGTTCGACGTTTACGTCATCGGTTTAAGCGGGGGATCGAATGTCTCTCGCTCTATACGAAACGCTTCGGTCCCGTCCTCGTTACGTCGCCGGGTTGTTCGCGCCTCATCGGAGAGGCTTTCGGCAATAGCGTGCCCCGGGACACGTCACGTTAACAGAGCGGGCACGCGGAGGGAGACGATAGAGCCGAGGTTTAGATAACGATCGCCACGGCAACTTGTGACTCAGCGGCCCGAACGCGGGGGGGGGCTGATTGAGACGCGTTTTGCAGCGGCGTTTCTTATGCGTGGTCTAAATACGTGGAGTAAGCGTGGAGTAAGGAGTAAGGGAGAGCCCTAACTTCTAGCTTTTGGTGTAAGGAAGCTGAAATACGGGCATGATTTTTAAAATAATTGTAACACTGATTGATGGCATTTT